AGGGCTGTGGTGGTGGCATGATGTGGGGAGTGATAAGGGCCGTGATGGGTCTGTGACTGAAGCATGTGGGGTCATGATGAGTCCATAACGGGGTCCGATGGGGCTGTGATGAAGGAGGTTGGGCCCAAGAAGGGAACATCATACACTGGGTCTGTGGCTGCTCAGAGATGGGTACCCTGCATGTGACTTTTTGCTGACCCAAGCCCTGACTGCCCCTTTAAACCAAGAGGTCCTGGCTAGACAGAGGCTGGGGTGAAATGTGGGCCTGCAGCCCTCACCGCACAATATCATGGTGATAATAAAAGAATCAGGACCCACTGTTGCCAACGAGAAGCTTTGGGCCAAAGGTTCAGAGTAACATTTGGGGATTAGGCTCTTCTACAACCCCCTCAATATGACCGCTCCTTGGTAGAGCCCACCGAGTGCCCTCCAGATGCCCAAAGCCCATTGTGTTTGGGGTACAGGGCAGAATTTTCCACAGCGGATGGGCCCTTGTGTGGGGAGACACTCTCCAAGGAGGCAAGACTAGAGAATCGCCATTCATGAGCAGCCCCTGATGGTGTTACCTCCACCAGCAATGGCCTTCTCTAGCACAGAGGTAGCCAGCTGGTCTGTGACAGCCAGGTCCTGAGGATCCCCTGATGTGCATACCCAGCGGAAAGGCCCAAACCCCTGGGAGAAGATGTCCCTGTAAGGACAAACAGTCTATCACATTGGGAACGCCTCGTTGGCATTGTTGTGATCCAAAGAGGGTGATTAGTAGATACTCCAGAGCTGAGGCTACAGACCAAGTGGGTGGGGGCCACAGTGTGTGAACTCCCGTATCAAAGGGACCTTCCACTTCTAGACTTCGTGCCAAGGCGCTTAGCCCAAAATTGGACTAAGCTTTGGAGCTGTACATTGGTTGGGACCAAGAAGTTCAACTCAGCCCAGGCCAGGCTGGTCAATAGGGTAGCTCCCCCAGCCCCTCCAGTGGTCCCGAATCACCACAGTCCAGGCCTGGCTGCTCCACACCTGTATCCACCACCCCACCCTGCACATCTGCTGTGTCCCCTTAGCGAGCCTGAGCCTGGGGCACAGACCAAGGGTGACTGGGAAAGTTTGTTTGTCAGCATACTCTCTCTTTGGGACGTCTCTGCACATTTCACATTCGAGAGACAGCCTCATATAACTGGCCTCTCCATGCTCTTCCTGATCCCCTCTCACCTCGTGAGTCCTCCTCTCCTCCCTCAGCCTCCCTGTCTCTGCCTCTTTCTCCCCTTCAAGCTCCACTCAAACCCCAAGATACTGCACCGATTCCAACTGCAGCTTAGGCCCCATTTAGGTCTGAGGCATGCATTTCAGGAGGGAGCTTGCTACTGACACCTGGGGCCCTGTTCGACGAGCCCTGGGGCTGGGGGGTTGGGGGGAGGCATTTCCATGTTCCAGCCTCTCTTCCCCTGCAATTGATGGTGGAAATCACCTTAACACTGGGCAGGTCTCATGGCAAGAGCCCTGGTGATGGTCAGAAGATTCAGGTTCCCAACCTACTGTCCAGAACCAAAGCCGGGGTTTGTGGTGTGGGTGGCACTGGATGCCCTGGATCTGACCGCCACCCCTTCACTTACCCCATAATATGCTGGACATACGATGGGTAGCGGAACTCTGTCTTATCAGCCCCTTTCTTGCCCACGTCAGCTCCTGTGGACACATCACCCAAGCATATTCACCTGCATGTCAGAGACAGCAGGCCTGCGGGCCCCCAGCGAGGGTGCGGGGCTGCCTACCATGAGGACACACATAGACGTCACCACACCCCCACAGGAGCCACACATGAGAAAGGTTTGGTAGTCAAAGAGGGCATAGGAAGCTGACGCAGTTCTTCTAGTCCAGAGAGGGGAAGGAGACCCCCATCTCTTCCAAGCACCAGCAGAGAAGAAAGTCGGGTACAGAATGGCCCCTGATGTGCTGCCCTTTGTGGGTGACCAAGGGGGAGGGAGGGGGGCGGATGCACAATTTCCTGCAGATGCAAACCTGTCTCACACTGAGCACTCGGGAGCACCCCCAGAGGGAGCAGAGCGCAGCAGACAGGCTGGAAGGGAGACGTCCCTGTGTATCTGTTTGTACCTTCGACAAACATGTTTCTGCTATGATAAAGCACACCAGCAAGGCTGCAGGCTGGCACACTGGAATGTGGTCTGAGACACGAACCCAGTCACTTGAGGGTACTTTTCTGTTGTGAAAGTCAATGAAGAAACGGAGGGTCCGAGAGCTTGGCTGCACAGGCTTCCCGGAGACCCAGGGAGAGGCATGAGACACCAGAAAGCTTCTCGCCCTGGTTCCTGGGCCCTGACCCTGACTTCTCTCCCTGAGAGAAGGCGTCACTACACGTCCAGAGCCTCCCTGAACTGGCGTCCCCACGCTCCTGGCCACCCTGCTCCTCTCACCTGCTCGCTGGGCCTCCAGGAGGAAGGCGTTGCCATAGTCCCAAAAGAAGAAGTTCTCCTGGGCCAACCTGTTGATGGCGGAGACCTGTCTCCTCAGGCTGCAAGGAAAAGCTCTGTGAGCTACAATGCCCTGTGCCCTCCTGCCCCATCACCTGGAAAGCTCTCTCCTCCCTGCGCAGACTCACGTCAGCCCCCAAGTCTTCCCAGCCAGTTAGCTCCTTAGTCCTCTTTGGCCTTCCAGATGAGCTGGCCAACCCCTGGACGCACATTCTCTGACAACCGCCCCACTCCATTGTCCACCTCCATCAGTGTTCCCTAAGCTCCTACTGCAGAAGCAGCTGCACTGGGTATTTTGCAAATATTCTTGACTTATCCCCTCCCCGCTCTCCCCCCAGTCCCCATGACTCCCATCAAGTCGAGGGCTTGGCCCAAGATTGCATAGCTAGCAACTAGGGAATGGGGCTCTCGCCAGAGGGCTTCCCCCATCCCACAGCATATGTGCGTGTGTCAGCCTGTTCTTGGGCACACACACGCCTACACACACACACACACACACACACACACAGAGTAGCCGGGCACAGCACCTCTCTTGCACGAGGCCCTTGAATGCCACAGGGTTGGAGGCCATGAGGCTCTGGGCCTCCGAGAAGCCGAGCTGCACCGGGTAGTAGCCTCCGTTGAAGGGGTTGTGACAGGAGGTCTGGTCTGACCCGAGATCCACCAGGAGCTCCCCCGTTGTGTTCAGCTCGTGCACCAGGCGCTCCCTGGGGAACACAGGGGCATGCGCACAGGGCAGGGGGTGATGAGCTAGGGGCTGCAACACATTTGCCAGCCCGTGGTCCATTCTCAGAGATCGTGTCTAGTTGGGCTTTCCCCTTGAAAGAGCAGGCCAGCAGAGCAGGGTTTGTTCAAGCAAGGAGGCTCAGCCCTGAGAGGCAAGAGGGTCCCCTGGAGCCCCCAAGGCTGCCACATCCAGCCCTCACCCCTACTTACCAAAGAGCCACCACGTTACCATGGTAGCCAAGGCTGAGCACTTCCTTCTTGCTCCTTGCTTCCCTAAAGGGTACAAGATGAGATCACACTGCCCTGTCACACCTGTCCACAGCTGCTGGGGGACAGACCTCCACTCCCACCCATACAGATCGAACACAAAACGATTTTGTTCTAAAAGCCCAACTGGCTCCGCAAAGTCTCCTGTGTTAGTGCGGCACCGGTGTCAAGAGTCAGCAATGATACGGGAGCAGGAGACTCCACACTGTAAGGCAGGTGGGAGAATGACATGAATTATCATGCTGATCACCCCCAGGAGATTTATGGAATTAGGGTTATTGCTCTTAGAATGACAATGGGAATTTTTCAAGAACTCACGGAAAGGGATCTTGAAAATTAGAAAATTCACCAAGAAAGGAGTCAAAAATTAGAATTCAAATCTCAGCTGAGTCTTCCCCTGCTCAGTGGTCGGGAACTCAACAAGAGAGTTGGCTTAAGGCCTTAAAGCAGTAGGTCAGACCTCCGTGAACTGAGTTTGTTCTCTGTGCACATTTGTGCACACGCATGTGTGTGCATGTTCATGTGTGCCTGCATGTGAATATGGTATATGGCATGTTCTCTTGGACGTGCATATGTGCATGTGTACGTGTGACAGCAGGAATTACTTGGGTCCAGACTTTATGTGGGTGGCAGGGATGAAAACACATGCAAGGCGATGTTTAAAGGTGACAAAAGTATCAGTCTTGGGAAATGGGTGTGTATGCATGGGAAGGGTGTAGTCCACATGCCAAAACACCTGAGCATGGACAAGATTCCCATCGGGCAAGGCCTTCAATGCCACACAAGGAATTTCCAATTTCTCCTATCATGAATGAAGTGTTCTTTGAGAATTGTTTAATGAGTTTTGGTACGATGAGCTCAAAGTGATATTTTAGAGAGATCACTGTCAAAAAATGTAGGAAGGCCATTGGAATTTCTTCTCATGTTATCTTCTCAACTGCTGTGCACATTTGAAACTGTGTCTAGAGCCTTAAGCCAGGTTTAAGGCTCCCTGGTGATTCCAACTGCTGCCAGGATCGAAACCCACGACCTGAATGCATCTTCCCCAAACAGGACTCTGGCTGCGCCTCAAAGTAAAGGGACCGGGAGATAACGCGATTGAGAGATGGCACGTTGGACAAGGGTTGGTCTCTGAAGTTTATAGAAAAACAAAGTAAAATGAACTGGATAGAAAACTTCAACATCGCAATAAGAAAGAGACATTTCCAGAGACGTAACTTAGACTGACAATGAGATGTCATTTACCCTAGAATCAAGGAAAAGCTCAAACAAACGAAAACAGATAACAAAGGCTGGTGAGCGGGTGGAGAGGCTGGAACTTCAGACACTGCTGGCCGGACTGCACGAGGGTGTGACCACTGTGGAACGTGGTGTGACGTTTGCTCAAAAATTTGGGCATAGAAATGCTACATGACCCAGCAATTCCTCTACTTGGTATATTCCTAGAGAATTAAGAGCTGTAGCATGAACAGATGTGTGCACACCCCTATTCATTGCAGCACTACTCTCAAACACACACACACACAAGAATAAAATCATCTAAACGCCCATCAGTGGAAGAATGGAGCCACAAACGCTGATCTAAACACACAATGGAAATGCAGTGATGTTGAAGAGCACAGGTCTGTGAAACGTCTCATCACACAGAGGAATCTGGAGGCCTTTATGCTGAGTGAAAAATTAGTCAATCACAAAATGACCCATACCGTAGGAAACCACTACTACAAAAAGTCAAGAAAAGGTTTCCAAACGAAAACTTGGCTACTCCTGACAGGGGCACATTAAGGGAAAACATGAGGGGCACCTCCCTCCCTTGTACCAGGATGGGGCCGGCTGCTGGCCCCACAGCTGGGAGGAAAATAAGGCCTATTCTGTGTGAAAGTGGGGGCCACTTTTCAGGCAAACTCAGAGAAGTATCTGAGAATCGATCAGTGTCAGTGTCTGACCACTAAACATACACTATCCAGTGACATTCTGCACAGTTGCAATAATAGGAATCAAAGTTTTAGAAGAACAATTGAACAAGAAATAGGAACTTTGAAAGGTCCTTCCTGTGTTATCTCTACTGTAGACTTGACTTGGGCATCTGCTTGTGCCCAGGTTCCAGGCATTACCCAAGTCCCCCCTCAGAGCTGCCCCATATCTCACCCTCCATCGGGACAGACAAGCTCAGGTGTCTGTGCTCTGGATTGAGTTCAAAGCTGTACCTGAGTCTCTGGATGCAGTGGTCCAAGCTGTCAGTCACCTCCATTAGCCAGCCTTGCTTGTGGCGCTTCATAAGGGCTGCTTTATCCACCTGGGACCACAAGACACAGCTAGTTGGTTACCTATACCCAGGGGGTCTCCCTTTCAACCCAGGAAGGTGGCACTGCCCACATCCATCACCTCGTGTGTCTAGTATTAGGGCACATGATGAGCTACCTCCTCTTTTTTTATTCTCTTTTCTGCCCTTATTAACAGAACCCAGAGTTCGCCAGGGGACATTGTGCTCAGCCCTAGGAGATAAACCACCTGGAAACCCCCCACAACAATCCTTCCCACGGCTTCCAGCCACCTTTGCAGATAAAGTCATCCACTTGATTCCGCCGTACTGACCGGCGAGATGAAAGAAGGTGCTTCTGAAGAGCTCTGTGAGCTCCTTCCTACTTTCCTTTTAAAATGACTAACCCTTCACCCCCCTCCCTTCTTCCTGCTTGGACTGCAGATGGAATGGCTGGGGCAGCCATTCTGTATTTATGAGGAAAGCACACGGGTCTCTGGCAAGGTTGGTCCTGATTGTGTAAGATAAGGCACAGGCGTTGGGGTGAGTGGGGAAGAGGAGTGTGAGGAGAGAGGAGAGCCAGGCATGAGGGGGAGTGGCGGGGGAAAGAGAAGTGGGTCTTGGACGAAGTGGAGGGAGAGAGAGAGGTGGGGGAGTGAAGAAAGAACATGATGGGGGAACAAAGGGGGAGAGGAGAGGTGATCGCAGAGGAAAGATGTTCTGGCATGAGGTGTTCTGTCCCCTGCAGCCAAAGGTGCTTCTAACAACTAGGACAGGATGGCAGGCTTTCGTGCCAATCCAGCAAAACCATCCGAGGGAGCATCACCGTGCCGCGTCTCAAAGCGCCTCACCGCCTCCCGCCCTGCCTTTCCTTGGGGAAAGCCCCCTGCCCCAGTTGAAGAGAGATGCCTGCCTCTCAACTTGACTCCTAGGAGTGGTTTGAGCTGGGGAGGGTCAGACACCTTTGTCTTCTCCCTTCCGTGTTTCAGCCACAGTACTGGGTTTGGGGGATAAGGTAAGGTACAGGAAAGTGACTCTGAAGGGGACAGTGTGTTGGAAGACCAACCAACGGGACTAGACAATGCCAGGTGATGGGCATACTGAAGGGAAGAAACGATGCTGCCAGCCAATGAGGTCGGGGAGGGTCTGTGGAAGAGAGGCGTGAGGGCCAGGAGAGATGAGAGGTGGGTACAGATGGCAGGGAAGAGGCATGAAGCAGAGGGGTGGGTGTTGGGCAAACAGGGGACTGAGAGCAGAGAGATCGGTGTTGGGGCAAGTGGGAGAGAGGAGAGAGAGCATCTGCCACACAAAGGAAAGAAGGAGACAAAGAAGAAAGGTCAGGAACCCAGACTCACCTCTGCGATCAGCCCAATGCACCCCACAATGACCGCAGCCTTTGCCTGGGCTCCACTCATCCCGCCGAGTCCAGAGGTGACAAAGACCTTCCCAGTCAAGTCCTCGAGGCCCAGGTAGCGGCGCCCGGCGTTCAACAGGGTGAGCTAAGGAAAGAAGAGGCTGGAAGTGCCCACCTCCCACCCTTGAGGCCAGGACCCACCCCAAGAGAAAGTGCACCCCAAGCGCCTCTCACCACTGTGCCGTGGACAATTCCTTGGGGACCAATGTAGCAGTAGCTGCCTGCTGTCATCTGGCCATACCTGCCCACCACAGAGAGGACAGAAGGAACACGAGTGAGCCCAGCAACCACAAGCAGCTCTCTGGAGCCACGCACTTTATGCTTTTGAAATTAATGTTTAATTAACAGGAACACAGCCTACTTATTAAAAAAACAAATTAGAGATAAAACTAGAGTCTCCCAAAGTTGGTCCCTTCCACCCTCCAGAACTTTTACAAACAGACTCCCCACCCCTCTTAAATACTGTACTATTATTGGTTAAAAACTAATTTGGGAAACATTGGGTCCTAACTACTAAAGCTGAACGGGTGTAAATGCTCCAACTCAGTAATTTCACTTAAGTGTGATGGTGTGGGATTCTATCAACTAGACACTCCTGTGTAAGGGTAGGGGCAAAGCCCACCCTATCCCCTGGGTTACAGCCTGATGGACTTTTGTGGGTTAAGATTAGACTGTTCCCACGGTCTGCACTGAATCCTGGGCCTATCCCATAGTTTAGGCCAGGAAGGCACTGGATCACTCTGACTCCTGTTTTTGCTCCTGTGAAACACCGGGATGTGTTACTTTAACCTTCACAGGTGTGTGACCATCACCTATGAGAAGAGTGATAATATCATTTCCAACCCCGAGGCAGCCCCAGTTGACCCTCTCAGGGAACCATGTGCTCCCCAAGGGGATGCCCCCTGGTGGGGCTCACAGCCACTCCAGAACTCTACCCTGCAGCTAATCCCACCTTCCGGTGCCAGGGGGAAAAGGTTTGTCCTTGACCTAATTCTCACACAGCTCCTTGAGGCCGGAACTGTTACTGTCCCTTCTTCCCAGATCCAGACGCCACATTTCAAGGTTACACAGGAATGAATGGCGGAGC